AGGTCAATGTTTCACTGTTCCTCAATTTCAGGTTCAATACAAGTTGGTACCAGGAGCAAAACTGAAGTTCTGGGGTAGAAATACAGTGGGTATGGCAGGTTGGAATTATTTAAAGCTCGAACTCGGAGTCCTTGATTGAGAATTCAAACCACTGACTCAATGTAATCGTCATCATCGACTGCTCAGAATAAAGCACCTAAATCTTACGATCGGTCAAAATTGGGGTGTCTACATTGATGAAGGGATTATTATTCAAGACGATTAAGAAATTTGTCAATTGAATATGTCTTGAACGTATTCCATAATAAATGTTTATGTTTTTACAGACTGCTTTATGATTGATTGTGTTATTTGACACTTTGAGATCTCATTAACTGTATTTCTGATATATTTCCTGTTATGAATGGTGTACATACATATTTGAAAATGAATGAATAATAACAAGAATAGTTTTTGATTAAAAAAAAAAAAAAAAAAAAGATATTATTGAACCTTTTAAAATACACTCATCACTTAAGGACTGTATTAAACTAGTTGCTAGTATTGTGGTATATAGAAGGGACTATGTCGCACTATTGACGTAGAACTGCCATGACTTGCATTAGTGAACTATTTAATTATAGTATTATGATGATGACTAAATTAAAGTGAGGTTGGATATGGTTTATTGCACGCGTAATATTTACCTTTTTAAATCGTGATGTATGTTATCATATGGTCTAAGTAGAAAAATGTAAGACTAAATTTAATTATTTAGTCATTACGGAGACCCATATGATATGACAATACGAATTATATGTTTAATAGGTTCCATGTCTTAAATTATAAACTATTATCTGATTGGTCAATAGATAGAGTAATTTTCAAGTCTCCTATTTTGATGGGCAAGTGGAGTTATAATTGTATTAGAAAATTAGTCCTCGCTCTACCTATAAAAGCACATTTAGATCACCCATCAATTAATTTGAATTTAACATATTCCAATGAGAGTCAAGAGAGAAAGAAACCTTTTTCATAAAATATTGAGTTCATGTTCAATCAATTTTGGTTCACTCAAAGGTTTCACATAACAGAACCCGCTATGTTATTTATTTTTCACATTATGTTACTGTTTGTGAGAATTATGAAAGTTCACGATCTTGTATTATGAAGGTTGTTATATATATAACATCATAAAATTATTTACAGTGTATGTCAAATGAACGTGGTTTTAGTGCATTACAAAAAAATAATAATAAAAATACCATAGAGGATTTGAACTCTTTTGGTAGGCCTCGGTCTGACCATTTACCTCTGGAAAAAGGTAATTCAAATGAGTCATTAAAACTTCATGAATTTTAATGCACAACAAAAAAATAAATGGATATTCGGTTTAATAAAAAGGTTAGGCTTCTCTATTGTGATTTCAATAGGAAAGAATTTCAATATGAGAGAACTTGAAGGATTTATAAGGCTCACTATAAACCCCGTTTTGATAATCTGAACCGTTCATTTTGCAAGACATTAAATGTACAATATCATTGAAAATATTTAGGTCAATTTGATAATCATAATCTTTTTATTTTATAACATTTTTCTCTAAAAAAAATGGATGGTCTATTCCAAAAATATATTCGTCATCAATTTTTTCGAAAACAAATGTAATAAAATGACAGTTATGATTATTAGATCAAACTAACTTTTTTTAGGAATATTATACATTAAGGGTTCCACAAAATAAACGGTTCAAATTACCAAAACGGGATTCATGATAGACCCTATAAGTTCTTCAAGTTCTCTCATATTAAGCTTTCGTTTGGGAAGAGCTAAAATAGCCTGATTTTTTTACTTTTTGGCTATTTTAGCCTCGTTTGGTTTTTATTTTTGGCTTTTTTTACTTTTGTAAGAGAAAAAGTGTAATGATTATGATTTGCGTGGAAAATTCAATTTCCACCCACCACATTATCATTTCTCACTCAACACACTTGGTAATTTGATTTTTATCTCTGTGTACATCATTTTTCACTCCACATATTTAGTAATTTGATTCTTAATTATTTATCTCAGTCCACACACCCTACATTCCAAATATACCCATTTAATAAAAAATAGGCACACCCTCATCAAATTATATTAGACAAAATTTATAGACAACTCCAAGGCTCTGATAAGCCAAAATCAATACTATTCTCCAAGATTCTTTCTGCAACAACCACCAAAAAACAAAAACAATTTGATCAGAAAACACATATGGCTTTGTTCCAAAACACAGATTAAAAGCAAACCCATTTCTTAGAAAACACAAATTAGAGGATTACCCATCTCACCTTAACACTATTCTGATAAAACCCAGTTTCTAGATCCATGATGGGTTTCCTCAAAACCTCATGGAAACCAAATTTAACCCCAAATTAGGAAGATTCAAAGATGACCCATTACTGAAAATACCTTCCCCAGCGAACAACTTCAATGAAATTATGTAGTAGGCACCAACAAATGACACAAACTAAAAAAAAAAAACATATAGTTTAATAAATACAGATTATGTGGACTCTTGTAGAGTTAGCAGTTGAACCACCATCAATGAAGAAAAAACACGAAAAGCCACAAAACGAGTGTGTGCACACCCTCATCAGATTATGTGGGTGAGATGTGTATGGAGAAATTGTGAGATGTATGGGTGAGATGGTGGTGAGTGAGATGATAATTTTGTTAAAGAATAAAATTGTGATTCTAAAAAAAATTCATTAAGTGTGTGGAATAAAAAAACTTAGTGTGTGAAAATTAAATTTCCCAATTTGCATATGATATTTTATCTTATTAATTTATATAATCAATTTTATCTTTTATATTTTTTTAACCAACAAATTAAAACCAAACATAACTTAAGATCTCAATACGAGAGAAGTCCAACCTTCAACAAAATGCACTTCATCCCAACTTTGCAGTTACAAGAACAAGGCACAGTTTGCACCAATGAAAGCCGAAAACAAGTTCTAGAGTCAAGGATGGATCTAGGGGCGGAGAGGTGCAAATACACCCTCGAAAGTTTAAAAAATAAATTAATATTATAATGGTAAATTGTAAAATAATATCAAAATTGCAATAATCACACCCTCAAAATTTTAAAAGTTAGCACCTTCAAAATTATAAAGTTTGCACCCTCAAAACAATTATATTATTAAATTTTAAAATTAATTTTCTAATCAATTTTATCAAATATTAGTCCTTATTTGTGTTAATTTTTATTTTAACAACCGATATGTTAACTGTGTTTGACATAACATTCTTGAAATTGAATTAAATAAATTTGATAATATTTATTGCAATGAATTTTCTTATTGATATATTGATTTTTTTAGTATTAGTTTTACATGTTTTAACCGTACACTGAAATATGTATTTTCAGTTATGAAATTTATTATGATTGGAATAAAGTATATCATAATTTCATCTCTCTTTCAATTCTAATTCTGCTAATGTGAGCCTTTTGACTCTAGGAAAATAATACTGCCAAAGAGAGAAGGTGCTTGAGGTGCGAACCTCCTTTCTGGATATTGATTATTCAAGCTGCAAAAGAAGAATTGTAAGAAAAAAAGGCTGCTTCATTAATTGCACAAATTTGTCTCAATTTTTTAGCAATAGGGAGCGGTCATGAGGCCACACTTACACTCCCAAAAAAGGCTATTTTGTGTGTGTGTGTGTGTGTGTGTGTGTGTGTGTGTGTGAGAGAGAGAGAGAGAGATTATAAGTCTAGTCTGAACCCAATAAAAAGCAAGTACATTACATAAAGAAAAATGGTTGAGAGCTCTAGGATAAGAGCTCTAAAACATGCACTAACATGGATGTGTGTGGGGAGCAGTTTAGTGTGATGTTTTAGCTTGAGTTTTTTTTTTTTTTTTTTAAAACTCATTTGTGTGTGTGTGTGTGTGTGTGTGTGTGTGTGTGTGTGAGAGAGAGAGAGAGAGATTATAAGTCTAGTCTGAACCCAATAAAAAGCAAGTACATTACATAAAGAAAAATGGTTGAGAGCTCTACGATAAGAGCTCTAAAAACATGCACTAACATGGATGTGTGTGGGGAACAGTTTGGTGTGATGTTTTAGCTTGAGTTTTTTTTTTTTTTGGACATGCCAGCTCAGTAGAGCTCTTTTTAGAGCTCTATAGCATTGTTGTTACATAAATACAGATGCATAAGCTCTCACGTCTGAGCAGGTAGTCTTCCAGATTTAAATGCATACATAAGCCTTCACATTTGAGCATGTAGTCTTCCAGATTCTACCAAGATGAAACTCCTCCCAGCAAAGCAACTGCATCATTTAAAAGTTGATCATTGATTGCCAAATCTAACCAGCTCTGCCCAACAACATTTTAGTACAAAGCGAACACAACTAAATTATTAACAGTTCCGACTCTTCAAAATCCGAATGAAAGATCTAGAATAGGAAGGAAAACATTAAATTGAGATAGCATCTCCACATAATCATTAAAACCACCAAATGATGCATAATACCAAATGCGGTTAGAAGCTGGCATTAATTTGTTGGAAACAAACTTCAAATTATGAGTTGTGTACCCAAACAAATTGGGGCTATGGTGCCTTGGAATTCCCCCTCTAGCGCAGGCAATAAGGTCGAGAAAGAGTCAAATTAAATAAGTGATAGTGTTTGTATATAATTTGGTTTCAAGTTGATCACACTTGGGGACAATTGGAACTTTCAATTCAAATACATACATATATATATATATATATACAGCTCCACAAAATTTAAAACAAAAAAAAGAGAAACTATAAATCAGGAAACTGAAAAAAGACTCAATAAGTCCTTTTTCCTACAAATTTCCATCAAGTCCTATTTCAATGTTGAGAGGGCTGATTCCTCTAGTAATAGAACTCAGCAGAAAATGGGAAAAGTAGCACTTATTGGGAATTTTAGCTAAAAGTAAATGCCATAATTTAAGTGCAAAAAACAAGAACAATCAGAAGCAGTCATTCATACCTCCAAAGACAGTCCCAACAAGATTCAAGCAATTCTTATTCCCCTCTTGATCAACATTGCAATATACACAAACTTCACCCTCGACAAACATTTGAGCACATTATCTTCTATTGCCTTTGTTCTATTCTTCACTTGAATATCCAAATCTGTAGAATACTGAGATCTAGGGACAGATTTTGAGACTTGAATTTTATTAATTGACTTCGCCACAGAGGATAAACCATGGATGCTGTGGAAACCAGAAGTCGAGACTGATGACCAATGACCATCACCAAGTATTTCTTTCTGCATGAATAAGAGGTGAACAAGGTATACATATTATAATATGAACATATATGTATATTTATCTGATACGCAATTCATTAAAACATTTTGCTCCTTGTTATATGTGAAAAAAGAACCACAACTTTCATACACAGCTCCTTTCAGAAACAAATTCAAGCTCTTATAAAGTGATAACTATGAAATCACTGCGAACTATGTCACAACGCGGTAGGTGATGCAATGGGTTGATTATTCAAGCTGCACAATGGAAGGGTAGGCACTGGGAAGATCTTATGTTCCTGGTAAGTGAAGGGATGGAAAGATGTGGCAAAGGTGTTCCCAGAGTCTTGGAGGTGGTGCCAGCGTCATGTTTCCTCTATAATGGACTTCATGAGAAGATGGATGGTTGGATAATTTGTACAGAATAGAAGCATATTTTTAATGGGCCAAGCAGATTGGGCTGGATTTGCAGGGGAAAATGCCATGGTGAACTGGGAAGGGCACGGCTAAGGGGTTTTAGGAGTTGATGCCCATGATTTGTGTCACTCCAAGAAGACCAATTATTTTGTGGAATAAGAGATGGGCTGATTAGGCCTAAGTTAAGCCCCAAAGGCTTTGGGCCTGGTCCAGTACCTGGACCTGGTGGAATCATTTTTCTGGACCAAATGAAACCTATTTGGGGCCAATCCAAAGGTGGTTCTTCCTCACATATGCATAAACTGAATCACCTGGACCAAACCCCATTGTGAACGGGGAGGGGCTTGGCTAGGGGACTTTAGGAGTTAATGCCCATGATTTGTCACTCCAAGAAGACCAATTATTTTGTACAATAAGAGGTGGGCTGATTAGGCCTAAGTTAAGCCTCAAAGGCTTTTGGCCTGGTGGAATCATTTTTCCGGACCAAATAAGGCCTATTTTGGACTAGTCCAAAGGTGGTTCTTCCTCTCATATGCCTAAAATTACAAGCCAGATATGGGTCAAACGTTGTTGATAACCTCCCACTAGGGCTGTTCGAACAACCAAATCATCCAACCAAATCATCTAACCCATCTGATCTGATTGGAAAAAGAGACGACCGCAACCAACTTTCGGTCAGTTGCGGTTTACAAATTTACATAAATTTCAATTTCACAGTTCATCAATGGTTTTAAAACTAAAAAACGGGCGGAAACTGAACTGACCGAAACGCTGCTATACACGAGTTTCTATTGGACTGGTTTAACAAATTGCATCCTTGTCACGTTGTCTCTGCATCCCAGATTTGTTATTTATGTGGCATTAATTGAGTAGTTGGAAATTTACATTTATCTTGACATTTCAATTGTCTAAATGCTGAATTCCAAGTTCCAACGTAATTTAGATCTCACTTATCTAATAAAATGTTGTTTAGATCTCTCAAATTCCAATCTCTTCTCTCCAGTAAATGAAAACTTATCTAATAAATTATCTTTGAATTGATTACATGTGCACGCAATACTCAGCTATTGTTTGATGGCTTAGGAGCTTTAAACTTTGGCCCTCTCTTGGTTTAGTGTGGCTTGGGTGTTCCTGGCAACTCCAATGACTTATTGTTGAAGAGGGAAAAGGGTGGGGAAGAGAAATAATTGGATTATTATCCAGCTTGGCTTGATGTGGCTTATTTAGTTAGCAGGATAGGAAACATAAGACAATTTGATAGTTCCGAATATTCCGCATCTTTGCTTGTTATATTGATGTACCTTATTTCTAGTATTTTGTATATTTGGGACTTGGGAGGAGTGTAATCTTTCTGTTGGCCAATGTTACATGGATTCTTAAAAATATATCAAATATCCGTTTTGGACACTTCACACTTGGATTAGGGTTTGGGATATGTGTCTCACACTTTTAATTGAACACTTCTTGTGAGAAACCAAATTGGAGTTTATATAAATTTACATAAATTTTCATAACCGGGTGAAGTGCCTCTTTCCTTCTCCTATCTCTTCATCTTTGTGTGTTACTGTTCACCTCCCTCAAAAGTGCCCTTTTCAGCTGCTAAACCCTAGCTGACCAAGTACAAACCATCCCCAACCTATTCCCCTACCTATCAGCCTTAAAATCCATAAATCAGTGTTATCCAGTCCCTTTAATTGCGCTATTTCAGAAATGATGCAATCTACAAGTTATAGAAATCAATTCAATTCCAATCTCTTCCTTTTTACAAACACAAATCTTTCTTCTACCTCTTACAACACTAACCCTAGAAGCTTTTCAAGACCAAAACCCAGACACCCACACCCACACCCACGACTGACACTCATATCCAATAAAATGTACACCATAGGTCTAGACCAATTATAGAATTTGTAGAGCCTTTGGATATGCAAGGGCGTCTAAAGTGCCTTTTGGCAGTGGCATCTTTTTATACACAGGAAGCGTTCCCACGGGGGCCTCGGTTTACAAAATTGCTTACTTATCAAAAAAAGAAAATTTAAGATAAATAAATGAAGGGTGTAAGAACAACCCCAAAATTTTGCGTCTTTACTCTCAAATTACTACATTTTGTTGCAATTTTTGGAACACTTAAATCCCCATAATTTACCACCCATCAAAAACCAAAGTCACCCACCCAAAGCCTATTTTTCAATTGCGATTTATTAGGCTTGGGTTCACTGCTAGTAGGAGCAGTTAACCTCATCTCATCCTACATTGTAGGTCATTAACCTATTTTGTTACTTCATGCTTCTCTTTCTCTGTCTTCCAGCTATAGGCCTTACAAGGAAAAATAGAAGGCAAAAAAAGCTGTTTGTTCTGGCACAAATCATCCAAGTAACAAAACACCCAGCAACACGAAACAATAAAAATAACAGTAAAAACGTAACAAATATTTTCTAACCTGTTGGGGGGAAAACACATTTGTTTGCTGCAGCATGGGCAAGCAAGGACTCCATGACTGAGACAAATTAACTTCTGTAAGAAAACATGTCACAAACTCACATACCATTTTCATTTCTTTATAGTTAATTATGAAGCAAAAGAAAGTTTCAATTAGAACTCAATAAATCACCTAATCGAGTCTCTATGCACTTGGTAGGGGAATCATAGGAAATGAACCTGTAAAAAAAACGGTAATCTCAAGTGTGAACTAGCCATTTAATGACATAATAGTTTACATACCTATACTGAACCACAAAAGTCATAGATCAATAATGTGCATAAAGAGAAGAAACACGATCCAAAAAAGAAAACAAATGTTAAAGTATTAGGTTCCCAAACCAGTCTCTACTGCTAAAATCTAAGTCTCCAGCCTTCAAGTTAAAGCCAGCTTCCACAAGCCTCAGAGCAATATCTTTCTCCACTTGTTTTCTCCGCACCTATAAGGAGAACCAAATGATTACTTTATGTAATAATGTGCTGATGTGCATTACTGCACATGGGAGTACAATTTTGTTACTTTAACAACATATAATCATAAACTTATATCTCCATGAGGAAGCTGAGATATCCCACTAGAGAAACTAAGATCTTTACAAGCAGATACTAATGGAAGAGTGGCTGGAGAAGCTGGGACCTCCATCTCGTTATTTAGTGTTTGGATATTGGATTTGGGAAGGGATTGCAAAGAGAGAAGGAAAAAAAAATAGCTTCTACTTTATTAATCTTTTCCTATTGTTGTTTCCATTTCATTTTATTTTCCTACTATAAAACTCACCCACAAATCCAAAATCCAAACACAATCTTGGAGAACAAGATACTAGTTATGAAATCAAGAATCGTGAATTGAAATCCTATTGGTTGCAAAAATCGAGAATCATAATATTCAGCACAACTATAAAAAAATCAACTTAAACAATTCATAAATACAAGAAAAAAACAAATATAATTATTTTGAGGCCATATTATACTATAAAATGTTACAAGGGAGTGATGATGTGTTCTAATTGTGAAGGCATTTGGCTCCGCCACAAGATGTGGGTCCAATCCAAATCCCACCCACCATGGTCTTTTATTTTCTCGTTCAAAAAATAGACCTAGAAAGCTCAAAATGTTTAGAATAAGAGAGTAGTTGAGAACCTTTTTTATTAAACATAAGACAATATAAATGGAATCTTACAGACTTGTTATTCAAGAAAATAAAATAGTGGAAACATTGAGTCCAACTAGTCCGACCAATATATATTAAACTATGTTTATTATAAGAGAATAGCAATAGATATTTCAATTTTGGCCTTAAACATACTTATAGGATATAGTTTGGCATGGTTTCACATAGAGAAAAGGTTCAAAGTGTGTATAACTAGATCCTATTTAATCCTTCAATCACCAAATTAACAACACATTACGCAGGGAAGCTAGTTATTTTCACATACAAGGTGTATTCTGAAACTAAATATAAAAAATAAAGATTAATTCCGAAAGCAAGAAGCATCAAAACAAAAGAAGATGGGACATGTATTAATACACACATCAGGTTGTTGCAGCTCCAGGTATTCCTCAATACTATTACCAGCCCTCTCAAAAACTTCAATCAATAGCATAGCCAACCTCATAACCTTCCTCTTCTTGTGAAACTGAGAAAATTTCCCATGTTTAACTTCTCCCATAAAGCTGATCTCCTCGTTAATTAGAGAGACAAATTGATTTTTAAGGCATTCATGGATTGTCGTACTTCCATTTAAACCAGCACCATCTTTTCCATGAAAAGTGATGGGAACCAAGACGTCTTCTCGAGCCACAATCAGCAACATAGCCAACTCAATGAGCTTTCCTTCCATGGCATAATGGTAAGCTAACTCTTCAATGTCCTTGGAGAACCATGCAAGCAACTTGGGAATAGCCAACTTCGCGCTCTGTAGAAAGTAATTGAAGAAGAAAATTAGATTAGCTCGTTCATTAAGTTCAAATTCAAAACCAAACATATGTAGCGTGAGGTCTAACAAGTAATAATTCTTTTGCAAAAAGACATACTCTGTCCGGATCACAAAGTGTTACTATTAAGTTAAAAGCCGATTGTTCTGGAGACGAAAAGTGCATATATAGAGAACTTCTGCACAATCAATACAGTAAATTAAAAAAACAGTGCCAAAATCAGAAAGAATAAGCACTATGTAAATCTTTAGCCACTTTATTTTAATATTTTGTTCTGTACCTCATTATAGCAAGTGCTAGTTCAAGCGGGAGCAACCCCTTGTACGTTTTGTAAACGTGATAATCCCAAGTGATATCTGTACGAGCTCCATACTGAAGAAATAATTTAACTAATTCATAAGTTGCAAAAAAAATGGCACGATGCAACAGGTTGTAACCATCAAGTACAGTTTTTGGATCTATGCCCAACCTCCCTTCAAGCAATGCAGTGGCACATTTCACAGAACTATCCATACATATATTATTTAGAAAAGTGTTTATGTCATATACAGCTGTGCCATCTGTAAAAGGTGGGCTTGTCATGAATGAGATAAGACTCTCATCATCGTCCAAAGCAACCATACTTTCCAACTGGTCATCCCATTCATAAAAACGAGCATCATCATCCCCTTCCTGTTAATGTTTAACAAGATATCACTAGCATTAGTTCCAACAAAATGTAAGTAAATATATATATGGATTAGGTTTCTGTCATCTTCACGTCTCAACATGAGAGAACTTGAGGGGTTCAAAGAGCCCACCACAAATCCCATTTCGATGATCCAAACCGTTCACTTTTTAGGAGTTGTTAAATAGAATATTCATGAAAAAAAAAGCAAGATGATCAGATATCAGTATCTATACTTTTGAATCAAATTTGTAATATAAAAAATGGATTGTTATTATTAAATTTATATTTGTCATCCATTTTGCAAAACAAATATGATTAAAAGCTAACGATATCTAAACATCTTGATTTTTTTGATAAATATTCTGCTCAACGAGTTCAAATAAGTGAAATGTTCGGATTACCAAAATCAGTTCTAGAATGGACTTACTAGGACCAACCGCTCACTCAAATTGAGATGACAGCCAAGCCCTACATAAATAACAATAATAATAAACTACTTTTCCTTCTAGAAGGCTCCATTCCATGTGATTAGGTGTCCTGAAGCTAGCAAGCAAAAGTAAAGAAATATTAAAATCTCAAAATTTAACATTTAAACTATGAGTTAGATATACTGATTTCATTACTGGTTACAATTTTTTTCCTTACAACGCATTAGCTTAATTCGCGTTCTGTTTGTTTCAGATGGAAGATAAATGCCCCAAAAAAGGTGTCTTCAGGGGGGAATGTCGCTTTTGTGTAGCTTATGGGGATATTTTGACCTAAAATTCATCTGTCTCCAGGTAAAATTGTGTTTACCATGAAAATGTTCAGCAGTAAATTAATATAAATAAGTTTTGACAGATTTCTCAACCTATGTAGAAGATTTGGGGAAAAGTAAATCCTAAGTTCATTCTTTTTCGATTAGACCCAAAAAATAAAAAAATAAAACCATTTTTATTACATAAATACAAAAATAAACACATAATCCATACGCATAACATATAGATACAGGAAGAAGTATCGAGCATACCGTCATATTTCTCAGCTTCCTTGAAGAGGCGGAGGAGATCGGTAAGAGGAGAGAGAGGAGGTAATGGATGCCTCCGTTTGGGAATTGGGTTGGTTTTTGGGTTTTTTTTTTTTTTTTTTTTTTTTTTTTTTACTTGGCTTAAAAGCTTCGTTTGGGAAGGGTTTTTTAGTTTTTTGATTTTTTTTAGAAAAAAATGTAATGATTATGGATTAGATGTGATATTTTATTTGTTATGGCTAAAATAGTCTATTTTATTTTTTGTGACTAAAATAGTTAAAAAAAACCTACAAACTCACTTGCCAAACACAAACATATTCGTCGGTGGAGGGAGATCACCGTTGCGAAGAGAAGAGGGGAGAGAGAGAGAGAGGAGGGTTCTCTGAGACAGATATAGGGCTATTTGGGAAGTTGGTTTTCACCCACTTTTTTTTGGTTCGCAGCAAAAAAAAAATTTGTCTTTTTTTTTCATTTGAAAAGTTGGTTTTTAACCAATGATGAAATTATAATTTTACTCTCATAGGTCAAAATGTGTTATATAGGTGAAGTTGTAAATATTTTAAATAAATAGGGATAATTTGATCATTTTATTATGATTTGATATCATAAACAAATATTAATTAAAAAAGTCAAAAGTCACTTTTTATCAACTTTCAAATCATTTATCTAAAAAAATAAAAATTTGATTAAAAATTAAAAAATCACTTTTTATTATATTCCCAAAATAAATCATAGGGAGATTAGGTTTAGGGTCGGTTTAGGGTCGCTTTTTTTTTACTAGGTATGTTGATCCAATTAAAAAAAACAGGTTACTTGAAGTAAGAATGGTAGAGTTTGGCTTGGAAAATGTGTGAGAATCTTACGTTTGTTTTGAGTTTTTTGGAATAAATTTTTGAAATTTGAGATTTTTTTTTATTTGGTAATGTTTACATTTTCAGTTTATATTTATAAAAATTTTATAAATTAATTTTTGTTTATTTTTTATTTATTTTTAAAAAAACATAAACTACAAACGCGTTTGGTAATTGACAAAATGTTTAAAAAAAAAAAGTGAAGAGAATTGGGCAGTGTAGAAGGTGCAAAGTGGCAGCGGAAGACGGTGGAGGAAAGTGGTGACGATGGGTAGTGAGTAGGGGTGGTGGTGGGTGGGTGGGTGGGTGACGGTGGCGCGGTGTGGGTGTAGCGAGTGGGTGTGGCGGGTGGTGGTGTGACAGTAGGTGAATGGGTGGTGTGGTGGTGGTAGGTGGGGTGACGGTGCGGGTGGTGGGTGGTAGCGAGTGGGTGCTGGTGGTGTGGTGCGGCGGCGCGGTAGTAGGTGGTGGGGATGGCGGGTGGTGGTTGGGTGGTGGCGAGTATGTGCGTGGTGATGGTGGTGGTGTGTGGATGGGTGGACGGTGGGTCGGGTGGTAACGAAGTGGGTGGTGGTGGCAAATGGTGTGGTGTGGTGGTGGTGGTGGTGGGTGGTGGTGGGTGTTAGGTGTGTGCGGGTGCTGCAGGTGGCTGTGGTGGCTGGTGGTAGCAGGGGTGGTGAGTGGTGGTGTGGGTGGTGGTGCAGCGGTGGATGGTAGTCGTAGGGGCGGGTGGTGGCGGTGGATACAGGTGGCGTGGCTGGTGGTGGTGGTGTGGTTGGTGTGGCGAGAGTGGTGGTGGTGGCGAGTGGGTGACTAGTGGTGGCGGCAGGTGGTGTTGAGTGGTGGTGGCAGGTGGTGGTGGGGGGTGGGTAGTGGCTGGTAGCTGGACGGAAGACGGTGGTGGAAAATGGTGACGGGTGGTGGCTAGTGTTGGGTGGTGAAAAAAAAAAAAACTTAAAACTCAAAACGAAAACACATTTTTTGCATTTACATATTATGGCCAAATTTATAAACTGAGACCATTGATTTATAAATCAAAAATTTACCGAACAAGTTTTTATTTGAATTTTTAAAATTTTTATAAATATAAATAGAAAACTGAAAATGTAAGTGTTACCAAACGGCACCTTAGTTTTTGTTTTTTTCCTTTTTGTTTTTAATAATTATTTTTAAAATTTTAAATATTTTTTTAGATGCACCTTATATAGATGTATCTAAAAAGTAAAAAAAAAAATTATAAAAACTATTTTAAAAAATCAATAAATACATAAAAATATAAAAAAATGTACTAAAGTTTCGTATATTTTTTTTTTATATATTTTTGGTATTTAGTGAATTTTTAAAAGGTTTTTTTTCACAATTACTTTTTAGGTATATTTATGTTAGGTATGTCTAAAAAATTTAAAAAAAAATACTTAAAATATTTAAAAAAAATCAGTAAAAACAAAAAAATACGGAAAATAAGAAACTAAAATTTTTTGAAAAGTATTTTTGAAAAACTCTAACCAAGTAAAAATTTTCCCAATTATCATAATAGTATAATTTAATAAGTGTTCGTTTTTTATATGAGATTTACTATTTTTATCACATCATTATAGATGTATTTATAGGTGCAAAATATAAGTCTCTAACCTTGTTGGTTTGGATTTTATATATAAAGAATTGAAATGTGTAGAGAAAACTCATTTTCAATAATAAAATAGGGAGAGAGAGAGAGAGAGAAAATTAGAGAGAGAGAAAGAGAGAGAGAGAGAGAGAAATTTGCTCACAAAATTTGGTAACCCTCAAAATAGGAGAGAAACCTCCCCTTATATAGGAATACAAGCCAAAGGCTTACTTCCATCCCTCCATACACGTGTATGGAGGATGCATTCAGTGATCAACAGCTGGCACAGTTGGTATATAAAATATCTGAAAAATGAGAAAAATGGCCATCGGCCACTCTAGGTGCCCGACCGGCCAAAAGTGGCCGACAAGGCCTTTCGTCCCTCCAGGAAAGGGGCACCAAGGTTTGGTCAAAAAACAAGTACAAAACAAAGAGAGTTTAGAGGCCTAGAGACAAGGCGTTCCGTCGAGAACTTTGGGCACTCAAAACGAGCACAAACAAAGACAATCATCGAGTGCACAAACGATGACGTCCAAGTCTTGAGGTTAGTCAAAAATGGAGTGTTTACAGTTGCCCCTCTTTGACAAAACTAGGAAGTCATGAAATGACGGGAGTGAATGTCAAAGCCTAGAGACGACCCATTTTTGACAAGGCCGAAGACTCAAACAAACAAGCAAGATAACAATATAGATGCACCCGCAGGCTGAGGCAAAATGCAAATGATATGCACGATGCAGAGCATAACTTATGATCATGCAATAAAAGTTGTAATGAAACATCTGAATGCAAATGCTATACAAATAAATGCTACAGCAAACTCGTACGTAAGTAAGTAAACAAGAACCAAACCACATTTCATGTAGAAAGAATGTAAGAAAATTATGTAATCTTAATGCGCCTCGTGCAGGAAAGGCAAAGAACATCAACCGTCGGGCACACCCGAGGCGACAAATAAGATTTCAACGCATGGCACACGCGAGGAAAGAAGTGGCGTGAATCTAAGGACATATCCTAAGGTTCCGAGCCACAGAGAACACATAATAACAATTGAAACGCATCCAAATATTATGCAATCAAAACAAAGGGCGATATAAGCATCGGAATCTGTCCAGATGCATTTAGCCAAAGCATCCTAACGTGACACGCGCGAGAGGGAAAAGGGAGCGGTGCAAACACCGGAGGGCAGTATAAACATCAAAACACGTTCCAATATTTCTAACTAAAACAAAGTGGTATAAGCGTCGAAACACAGTCCAAACGCTTCTGACCAACAAGGGAGGTATAAACGTCAGGCACACGATCCAAATGCTTCTAACCAAAGAACGGTGTAAACATCGGGTACACAACCCAATGTCTCTAACCAACAGGGTGGTATAAGCGTCGGACGCACGTCCCAAACGCTTCTAACTGGGAGGGTGGTGTAAACATCGGGCACACAACCCAATGTCTCTAACCAACAGGGTGGTATAAGCGTCGGACACACGTCCCAAACGCTTCTAACCAAAGGGGTGGTATAAACACCAGACTCACAACTGTAGACTCGACTTTCTTTGCGCGCCCCCTTTTTGGAGAAGGCACGAATTGGTCCTCCTACAGTTCAGACTCCTGTCACGGTTCTGAATCTAATCTCACAATGTGCAATGTGAGACTGATAAACACCAAAGAGTCCAATCCGGCAAGTCATTTTGGAAAATCAGATTTTGAATCAAATAATGCCAAAATTAGACTACTTTGCCAGATTACAGAGTCGCGCACCTAAATATTTTGTTTTTGAGAAATTTAGGAAACCCTGACTCATGCCAAAAGCCACGTGTCCGTCATCACCAAAGTTGCCTCTGCTCGGGAACTTGGGTACGAGAGAGGAAGGTCCTGAAATGAGCACCCTCGCTCGCCCGATCAAAGATCGGCCTCTACTAAGTATGATATGTTATTTTATAAACCTCATGTGTTCTTATCCAATTATTAGCTAACTTTCTATGTGATGCACACATACAAGTATAGACTAAATCGCAAGAATTGGAACAAATCAACCCATGTTTGTTTTTAGAAAATGGTTTGAAAGTGCCACCTGCAAGTGGGCTAAAACGCGGATTTGCCACCAAACATAATAGGCTTAAAACATGATTTGCCACTTCGCAAAGTGGGCTTAAAACTCACATCCATTGAATTGTTCCAATTCAAGCAACAAAGCCTTCATCCACAAGCATTCATGCAGCAAATAGCCTCATGGCAAGCATGCTATCATGGCAACACTCACACTCATACAAGTATGTTAAAGCGTAAAACTCACAGTGTACTCCGAGCCAAAAACAAAATATAGTTAGAAATATACATGATCCTAACTATGCTAGATGCATAATACAACACATGCAATAATGCAATTAAATAGGCTCGGCTATCTAAGATGGCATATGAATGTAACTTAATAACATACTTTGAAACACATATTCAAATAAGTATTAAAATACAATGCAGTTTGAATGATGCGCCGAGCCCGGTGCATGCAAGACAAATGAATGAATGCAAACATACAAACATAAGGTATGCGATTTGAAAACGTGCCCTAAACTAACCATTGAAAGCGGTTAAATAAAATGGAGAAAGCCGTGGGATTGGAAGACATGCACACACACACACACGCTTCTTACAACATTGCACCCTCGCGAAGGAGG